ACTTTTTCTTGTTTCACGTTTTTCACCATATGAATGGAGTATGAAGAATGAAGAAACATTACAATTATCAAATAAATTTTCTATTTTAAATACACTCTTTTTTGCCTTAGCGGCTTTTATGCAACAAGGTGTAGATTTTATACCAAGGTAAATTTATTTCTACAACATATTTTCATTCATTTATAAGTTACTGTCTCCTGCACGGATACGATTTTTCGCACCCGGATCCGACTAGCTATACCCGGTATGGAACAAATTGACATCCGGTAGATACTTTCATAGTTATAGTAGTTTTCAAACTTTTATTTTATATGGAAAAGTATACTATTTAGTTTTTTTTTTTTCATAAAGAGATCATCTCAAATTCTACAAAACAGAAAGTAAATCATTTGATGTCTTTCTGTTTCTAAAATCTGATCGATTTTGCTAAGTATACCTTTGCTTGTTATTGATAACATTGAAATGGAACGCAATGTGAGTGTGAAACGTCATAATTAGGGATACATACATACATGAATACTTTTTCTGTCACCATAATAGATGTTCATATTTTCAATAATTTATTTTCCTCTCCATGTATTCAATTACTTCATCATATGGTTTCACATCATCTGTAGATGAATTTCCATTAAAAATGAATTCTCTTAACAAAATCGTTTTCCATTTCTGTAATCTGTTGTCAAGTACAATAAATTGTTCAATCATGATCGAATCGATTTTTCATACCTATGCTTTTATACAAAAAAAGTAATCATATTTTGAAACCTTGAGATATCATATATTGCCAAGTCCGAATTCGAACCTATCCAGGTCTATGATTCCGATCTCCAGAAATAATTGGATTTCACTGGAACCGATCTGTACTTCTTAACCTTGGTATGCTTTACATTGGACCAGTTACTCGACCTAGCTGCAGGACACTGCTGCAAATTTACTATAGTCTTTAAGTGAATGCCATAGTTCCGCTTAGAAACATCAGGAAAAATTCATTTTCGAATTTTGACTTGAAACCTTATGCCAGAGACAGACCTTCACAAGAGTAGTTTATTATGAAAATGTTAGATCTTTTAATTTGTTTCTATTCTGAAATAAGAACATCGAACCGACTGTTATAAATCAATAATGTAAAATACACGCTTTTACCATAGTTGTATCTTAAGCTAAGAACAATGAAAATTCGAAAATCAGTTTTTCTAAACTATGACATCCATTTAAAAACTATCGTAGAATTTCGGTATTTCGAATGCAATAAGCTAACAGCACGAGCTCTTTTCAGAATATTTATAGCTCATTAGGTTCTACATGATGTACATAGTCTTGATTCAAAAATGATTTATCAATTGGTGAATTTCTCTCGTGAAAATTTCATATTGCTTCTAATGTATAAAAATAAAGATTTTCATATAATTTGAATTGAGATAGATTTAATTAAAATAATACAAAAATGATATATATAAAACAATCCGTATAGATATCGCTTTTTAGCTTCGATTAAAAATTTCCGTTTAGTGAATCAGCATCAAATCAGAAAAGTACATATCGAAAATATATTTATGATGCTTATGACTACTTTTGATTCTCGCCTATTTAGATCAATATCAGGTCGACTAGTTGCCAGTGTATGGTGGTATTTTTCAATGATTCTTGTTTCATCATATACTGCCAATTGGGGTTAGTAGAAAAAGATATATAGAATAGACATTTTTGTTTAAAATCTAAAATCAAATATCTATATTTTTGTTCGATTTTTGTAGCTGCTTTTCTAACAGTTGGACGAATGGTAACATCAATTGAAAGTGTCGAAGATCTTGCAAGACAAAGAGAAATAAAATATGGTGTTGTACGTGGTGGTGCAACACAAGCATTTTTTGAAGTAATTCTTTCTTTATGTATTTGATTTAAAAGTATTCATTTTGTTTTTTTTTTTTTTTTGTTAGAAATCAGATGTTAAAATTTTTCATCGTATGTGGACATATATGCAACAAAGTGATGATGTTTTAGTTGCTAGTAATGAAGAAGGTATTAGTAAAGTTCGGTAAGTTTTTTTTTTTTTTTGGTCAATATCTTCATTAATGAATAACAATTGTTTAGAAAATCTAATGGAAAATATGCATTTTTACTTGAAGTAAGTTCAAATAAATAGTATAATAAATATCAATATAATATTTATTTTTAATTTAAAAAAAGTCAACTAGAATTGAATATACAAATGAACGTTCACCTTGTGATACAATGAGAATAGGTTCAAATTTAGATTCAAAAGGTTATGGAATAGCAACACCAGTTGGTTCAGAATTACGGTAGAAAAAAAAAATGAAATTTTTTTATTTAATTTGAAAAATATTTTGTTTTTTGTTTTTCTAGAGAAGCAATTAATATAGCTATACTTGACATGAGTGAAGATGGTATATTAAATAGTTTGAAAAAAAAATGGTGGTATGATCGATCAGAATGTCATAGTACTACAACAAAAGTTTGTCAAAAAAAAAAAAAGTTCAATTGAAAATTTTCATTCTTATTTTAATTTGAAAATAGGAATCAAAACAAAATATTGCACTTAATTTAGTAAATGTTGCTGGAATATTTTATATATTAATTGGTGGTTTAGCTTTGGCTATTTTAATTGCTGTATTAGAATTTTTTGTTAAAGCAAATAATGAAGCCAAGCAAACAAAAGTAAATTGATGTTTTTTGTTTTTTCCCGTAGAGACTTTTGAAAAAAATATAAAATTTCCTTTGTTTTTTTTTTGTTTAGAATAATTTTGTTGATGTTATGAGACGAAATATGAGATTAAGGTCAATAGATTATTTTGTTTTAATAATGTTATCTTGTTTTTTTTTTTGTTCGTCTTTCTCCTTTTAGTATTGCTGGTATTCAATTGAATGAAGCAGCAGCAATGAAAATGTCCTTAAGATATTCTAGAAGAGATAATTATCAAGTAAAATTATCGAATAAATTTATAAATAGATATTCTAGAAAATTTTCTCCTTTTTTTGTTTAGAGTTCGGATCGATTATTTGAAGAAAATGGTCATGTATATGATAATAATCAGAGTCAAGTGTAAAATTTCATTTTCGTCCGTATGTGTGTGTGTGTATATGTGTATTTATGAATAAAATAAATGATTAAAGATCATGGAATATAATTTTCTTTTTCTTGTCATATCGCTTCAGTGCTCTTTTGAACTATTATCTAAAGACAAAAGTAAAAACACTTTCATGATCCTAAGACTTAATTAACATTGGACGTATTTAGGAAAAGTTACACATAAAGAGATTTTTTCAAAATAGAAACATATTCAGTCAAATTCTACTGTACATGAATTAAAAGGTTTTGTTCATCTTTGCACTATCTTCTAGAAATTTAGACAGGTTTTTATCATAAAAGAGCTCATTCATCATTGAAAATAAATTTCTTTTCGCAACAAAAATTCACAGGTATTTTTCGAAATAAACCAAGAAACATTGAATGTGTATTCAACTGCTATTTTCATAGATAACTGTATTGATTCAAGTTAGCTGGAAATTAATAACTATGCTAGTTGTACATTTTGAATTTTTATCTACTCTAGTCAAACCCCAATCTAAGCAATTGACTTAAGTAAAAATTACCAAAACAAAACATTGGAGATGATAGTGTTACTATAAACTATATCAAGATTTTACATTATGCCGATATGTTGTTCTAAAAATACTCGTTTTTACCAACGATTGTTTTCTTTTTTTTATACATTGTACGAGTGAAGGAAAGGTGAAATAAACTCATTTACCAGAGATGTATTGGACAAAAATGAATTGAAACTAAGAATTGTCGGAAAAACTACTAAAGAAATGTGAATATTGAACTGATATTTTATGTGCATGCGTGCGACAATAAATCCTATTCGCAAGCACTAAACCCATCCTCCATCAATTTACATCTGTTGAAGTTCTGATTCGTACATGTTCTTTTCCTTGTGAAAAACATATTCAGCGAAAATATGTGCTCAAATACTTTTTGTTTATTATTTTGCAATTCCATAAGTTGCTACTGTTTTCTTTTCTAACGCTAAAGACAGTTGCATATGTCTACTTTGAGACAGTAAAAACTGATGTAGGTGTGGAAGGTGCAATAAGACCCATACCAACACCCAATCCTAGAGATAGGTATGACAGTGGTCTTTCGAATGAGAAGTTGAACGAAAATATTTGTGCCAACATAGTTGAAATAAGGTGATCACAAGAAGACAATGATGTCTGAATCATAACTGAAGTACATATGAATCAATGAAGGATGGATTGATACTTGTGATCAGGGTTTGTTATCGTACGGAGAGACCAAAATTTCGGTCCACAGAATTTTCTGCCCTCATTAAACTAACCTCATTGACTCATAAAAAAATCTAATTTTTTAAAAATAGTTGCTAGATATCGTAATGCTGAGCAAAATGACGTGGGTGTGGGTCTCTTTTTGACCTTCATTCAGGTCCACACTATATCGTCCTGATCAGCACTACGATATCTAGCAATTAATTAAAAATATTAGGCTTTTTTTAGGGGTCAAGGAGGTCAGTTTAAGGAGAGACCGGAATTTCTGTAACCCGTCACACGCATGAACCCACAATATCAGCTCAATATAATAAAGAATAGTAGCACTTCATAGGAGATGACTACTTTTGTCCACGACTGTAGAAGACTTTTCATGTAACTTGTGAATGATAAGGCAAAACAGATAGAGTATCCAAAATCTTCTAATGTGTCAAGGACTTTAGCTTTCCCGATCTTTTTTTTTTGTATTGCCTACACGATAGCATTATCATAATTTCTCTATTCCGAATCTTGTTCATAGTTATGCAATAAGTATACATTAATTTTATTTGCAGATGTATTTTTTACTTTGAGATATCTCACCTTTTCATTGAAAACCAAATAATGACAAAGAAATTGATTATTTAAAAATAGATAACTAATCTCAAATATTATTTTATTTGAGAAGAAGAAAATAAAAACATTTAAAAAATTTAAACAATTAAATCATCTGTTTTATTTGTTTCATTTTTATTATCGTCATTGATTATTTCTGATTTAGCTTTTTTATTTTGATATTTTTCAATTTTAACTTCAACACTTTCTCGTACTGGACGAGTTAAAATTGGTTGATAATTTCTTCGATTATTATTATTATTATATCCTAATAATGAATTACTTTCATTTTCAATAAGTGATAATTGACCTAAAATTGGCAATTGTTTTTTATCATAAATTTGATTTTCTAGATTATTTAACATAGATTTAATCATAGTAGCACGAATTTGAAATGATGACCAATATCTTTGTAAATGACAAATAGTTATACGAAGACTGATTTGATCACAGATCCAATCAACTCCATTGAATTGACAATCGAATAGAACGAGAGGTAAATCTAAACAAAAAAATAAAAAATTAAATTATTCAAAAAATAAATCATCTTACCTGATGCTATTTGATAATTTGGTGTACATGGATATTTTTCTATATCAAGTAATGTTTTAACTAAATCAATATCTTCTTTTCCTTGACCAATTAATATTAAAATAGCAACAATACAACGAATTTGATGCCATAAAAATCCTGAACCATGTACCATTAATTCACACATTTCATAACTAATAAAGAAAACAAAATTTTTGTATTTGAAAATATATTCTTTTTAAAAAAAAAATTTACCCAGAATTAGAATTATTTAAATCATTATCTATATTTAATTGTTCAATAGTTACATTATCAATACGTCGAATAAATGTTGGTTCTGTATTTGTTATATCTAATTTACAAAAATTTCGAAAATCATGTGTACCAATGAGATCAATTGATGCTTGACGCATTCGATGAAGATCAACATTTGCTCTTTATATATTTTTTTGGAAAGAATAAATTAATTCAAATGAAATATAAATTAATTTCTTACTTTGGAAAATAGTATCGATATGATCGTGATATACAATCAAATCGAGCAGATTTTACATCGGGTACTGATGCCCATGCTATACATCGAATTGAACTAGGTAAAACACCATTTAACATTTGTACATAATTAAGTTCTTCAGTACTAGAATAAAATAATTATTTATATAATAAAATAAAATCAAAAGAAAAATCTTTCTACCATTCTGTAGTTATTTTCGATCGAACAGTTATTGAAATCACTTGTGTAAATGCACTTACACCTGAAAAAAAAGAAAACAAATTAATGTACAGAATTAGAAATAATTTTTTTTTTCAGGAATGATATCCTTTCAAACATTTAACACCATTGTTTATGTATTGAAATGATCAGAAAAGAGAACTCTACAAAGTCTGATAAGATGAAACATTTCCTGAGACCTATCCGTTTTTTGTGATTAGTCTTTAATTATACATTCGATAATTCTCTAGTTAATCTTATGAATTGCTAATTATACTTATATGTCCCATTTTCAATGAACTTTTCTTTTGGTACAAAAATTCAATGTTAATGTCATTTATTTTTTGAAGCGTACCGTCCTCTCCTGGGAAAATATTATTTTTAACCGTGTATTAGTATACTCATGGGAAATCATGACACAGAAATATTTTAATGCAAAAAAACATTCCAAACAATTTTGTACTCATCAATATAAGATTTATAGATTCAGAATATATTTCTATTTATAGATATAATATTATCTCTTTTTTGTTATTAATCTAGATTATGATAAAAAAAAAATTTAGATGAATTTGTATTCTATGCTTTCGATTGATTGTAAAGAATAGAAAAGGTTATAGGTTTTTCTTCATTATAAGAAACAATAGGATATAAATGTCGAAATATATTTCCTTTATGAAAGAAATATCAGACTGACTATCATGATTCATAGGAATAGAACGACCTTTGCACACAATTAGGTATCTCATAGCTGATTGTGTTGAGTCATATTGTTATTCTGTCTTTCTAATGAAAACCCATCGCTTAGATAAAGATAAGAACTTCGTTTATTTTTCATTAAAAATTCACTCGCCTCTATCTGTTCGTCCACATCGATGATAATTAGATGTTGCTCGTTGTTCAATCAATCGAGTTTTAATAAGAGCATCAAATAAAAAATCTTCTACTGTTTGTGATGTTGTTTCTTGAACTACAAAACCCTGAAATTATTAAAGAAAAAAGCAAAAAAGAAATTTTCATATATATTCTGATCAATATTTTTTGTTATTCTCACATGATATTCCCAGCCAAGATAAATAAATTTTAGAAATATATGTCGTTTAGAATGTTTACTAAAATCAAATGGTCTCATTTTTTTATTTTTTTTCTCATTTGATTCATTATCTGTTTTTTTTATAATCGTATTTTTTAATTGTTCAACATGTTTTTCAAGTTGTTTACAACGCCGAATAATTTGTTCACGTGATAATTTCGACCATATCTCATCATCATCATCATTATCATCAGATTTTAATTTACGTTTAGAATTTTTTATTTCTTTATTTGACATTATCTGAAATGAAATCGAGAGATATATCCGAAATATGACTCTCGTTTAATTCCAAACATATACACGCACACACCGATATAATTGACATAAACGTAAGAGAAAAGAGAAAAAGAGCAAAAAAAAAATTTTTTTTTTCAAACGTGCATCACACACATTACCTGTTCGTATATGTTATGTTTTGTGTTGTTTTTTTTTTTTAAAGAAATACCAGTAGGATAGAAAGAGAAGAATATAAATTAACAAAAAAAGAGAAGAAAAAAAAAAACATTTTCTACAAAAGATGTGTGTCCGATGAAGATGATGGTTCATCTGGATCATCTGATTTCGGAGGTTTTTGTTGTTTTTTTAATGTTTCAACATATTCAATTTGTGATATGGCAAGAACTTGTCGCATTAATGAATCATCATCATCATCGAGATCTTAAAAATTGAATATTATATATATATATATATATATATAAAATAAAAGAATTCAATTTAAAAAACATACCAGGATTTGATGAAGGATCACATTCATAATTGAATGGTAAAGCAAATTCACAATCTTTTCTTTCATCAAGTCTTAATGGTAATAAATTTCTTGGTGAATTTCCTAATACGAAATAAAAAATGATTCTTTTTTCTTTTATTTTTTTCGAATATTCAAAAATTTACCATGATTACTATTTGCAGTTCGCTCATATGTTGTTGCTGATGTTGGTGATGAACTAGAAGATGGCATCTAAGCAAAAAAAAAAATAATAAAGAAATATACTTTTCATTAAAGTCGTTATAAGACTCTTAGAACTATTCAAATTATTGAAATATATTATATATATCATCAAAAGAATATCCTATAATTTGTATAAATCTAATAACTTATTCTTTCTTAAGAATCTAAGACAATATTTTAAAACAACAGTAACAAACCGTTTTATTATCTTTATGTTGTTGATTAGCATCACATAACCATTGTAAATATGATTCTCTTGCTACTTGTTGTATTAATTCTTCTTGTGTTGCTTCCCAATCAGTTGCAGCTATTTTATCATCAAGCATAGCACGTTCAATATGACTTTCTTCTGACTGTCGTACTGCTGTTCGTATAAGTGATTCTTGTGCACGCTAAAAATTAAATATTAAATATTCAAAACTTTAAAAAAAAAACAAAAATGAATTATATACTCCTGGTTCAAGATCAGGAAATCCAAGACCATGACCAGCTGTTGGTCTCCAAGGATCAATTATTGAATTATAATGAACACCACAATGATAACTCAAACGAATAGGTTCATTATCTGTTTTATACATTCCATGTACAATATTAATTGGTTCTAAATAGCACCGAACAAACAAAAAAATAAGGAAGATACATTTATTATTCTTATTCAATTATCTATAATATATCATATTAACCTATACTATATTCATAAACCTCAATCGGTCGATTATATAATTCTGAAAGAGCAATCATTTCAATATGATTTCCATGACAATGCTGCCGTCGTTTACGTGTTACGTAATGATCAAAATCTTCTGTTATATACGAACGAAAAAAATCTGCATTTTTCACCTAAATTAACAAAAATATATTGAATTTTTTTGTTTTTTTGTTAATTATAAAATCAATCAACTTACAATATAATCCATACAATTTTGTCGAACTGTTGCATGCATTTCTTCATCACCAAATACTTGATCAGCTAAAACAAAAAAAAATCAAGAATTTTTTTTTTATAGAAATTAACAAATGGGACAAACTTTTTTTTTCGAAATTCTCGCAGAAGTCTAGCTGACACCTGATTAACTAACGAGGGAACATTCCCAGGTGTTAGAGCGCTTTTGAGTCGGGACTTAGTGCATCTTATAGACCTTAGTGAATTATGTTTATGGTAAAAAGAGTTCGTGCCCATGGCTTGTTTCTGGCGAGATATCAAGGTTTTAGTGAATTTCCTCCATAAGACCCTACTTTTCCAGTACAACCTTATTCTCGAATTTTTGACATGAAACTTTGCCCACATAAAGATTTCAGATAGACTAGCTTGCAAAAAAAATTTCAGAATTTTTCGATGAAGTCTCTTCAAGATATGAAGATTTCAAAAAATGCATGCTGTATACACTATCTATAGAAAAAAAGTCTATATTTTGTCATCTTCATATCTTGAAGAGACTTCATCGAAAAATTCTGAAATCTTTTTTGCAAGCTAGTTTATCTGAGATCTTTATGTGGACAAAGTTTAATGTCAAAAATTCGAGAATAAGATTGTGCTGGAAAAGTAGGGTCTTATAGAGGAAATTCACTAAAACCTTGATATCTCGCTAGAAACAAGCCATGAGCACGAACTCTTTTTACCATAAAAATAATTCACTAAGGTCTATAAGATGCACAAAGTCCCGACTCAAAAGCGCTCTAACACCTGGGAATGTTCCCTCGTAAGATCTTTCTAACCTTCAAGAATTTCAAAATAGATTCCATACCATGAATTATATATCTATGATGAAATTTTCAAAAAATCGACTTTTCAAAAGCCCGCCCTTGTCCTAAGAACGAGACTTATTATTTTGCTGTCGTCTTGAGATCTGTAAGAAGAATTTGTGTTTGGACTTCTCATTCAATTCGAATGAGATTTTTCGTTTAGATTTTCGTATTCACTCATATCACTGAGAATGAATAAATTATATTCAGGAAAAATTTTCTAGTTGAAGTCTTCTACAAGATACACTATTAGATTTTTAAAAATACTATTTGACCTTGTGAATGTGTAAATAAAACCCCATGAAAACCTTTGCCTTTTTGTTTGTGTCACATGATTACTGTTAGTTTTTCATTAATAACGATTTGAAACCTAAGGTCAATACGACTGAGTTTTTGTAGAATATCTAGAATAACTCAACGTACATCTAATAGATAAAAAAATGAGCTCGAATTTAAGAGATATATTTGTATTTTGTGAAATCATCATATATTGTTTTAACTTACACACTGCTCGAAATAAACATGCACCATCTTCTTGAACTGATTTAATAACAAAACCTTTTTTTTCTTTTAACGCTCTAGCAAAACGCATTTCAAGCTAAAAAAATAAAAGAAATGAAAAATTTTTCTGTGTTTTGTTTGGTATTAAAATAACAAACTTCATTGAGATTATTTCTATCATATTTAACTGTTGTTTGTTCATATTCATCTTCACTGTTACATTGTTCATCATTATTAACTGTTGTATGTGATAATGTTGATGTTGATGTTTGTGTTAAATGTTCATTTGAATTTGTATTTGATGTTAAATTATTTTCAATTGATAAACTTGATGATGGACTATTACTTGTAATATTTGTTATTGAAGAATTTGAAATTAATTTTTCTCCAACTGAACTACCACGTCGTCGAGCTTGTTTAACAGTTGTTTGATGATGATAATGAGATTTACGTTTTGATATAGGTGCTGTTGTTGTTGTTAAAATTGTATTTGTTGTTAATGATGATGATGATGGAAGATTATTTTCACAAACTAAATTTGATTCATCAGTTGAATTTGTTTGTATATTATTTGTATTATCGTCATCACGTGATAAACGTGTACGGGAAATATTTGATGATGATTGTTGTTGTTGTTGTTGTGTTGTTGAATTTGATGATAAATCTTTATTATTATTTGAAGGTTTTTTTGATGAAAATATAGTCATGATATTTGATTTTTTTTAACGTAATTAATTGAACATTGATAATATGAACTAGAAATCTAAAAATATTAATATAGACTTTTGTTGTTTTTTTTTTCATCTTGTTCTACATCAACACATCATCATCATCATCATCTGAGCAACAATATATATATATATATATATATATATAGATAGATAGATGATCGATACTGATTAACGATTGGTTATTGATGAAGTATTACAAAGAAAATTTCATAAGTTATTTTTTCTTAGATTTCTATGAAATATTGAAATTTTATTTTATTTTTATTTATTATTATGTTTTGAAATTAATAAGATGTCGCTAGAAATCAGTAAGAATGTTTTTAAAGAACTTTTGAAATTAATTAATTAAATTCTAATGATTCATTTTCATAGGACAATGTCTTATTTCAATAAATAGAATATTATTTTATATTATTTTTTATTAAAGGATAATAGAAGACGATTATGGCGATGATAAATTCGGATAAGATAACCTTTTTTTTGACATCTTCACTTACAATTACTTTTTTTTCTCTTGTTTCTTTCCTTAATCTCGTTATCCTTGATAAATACAATCGAAAGTCTGTATAGCAATGATTTTATATTAAGAAATCTATCAAGCAGGTAAGCCAGATAAATGCAAGAATGTTTAATATATGTGTTAGATAAGATTGGCATAAAGAAATTTATTTGTATACTAATTCGCACTCATTTATTCAATGATAATTAACACGTAATATGCATTTACATAATATTGATACGCACTTATATATCATCATTCATTTTCTTTGAAAAATTGAAGCAAATATATGAATAAATTTGATACATATATATATATATATATGTATAGAATTATATAAATAGCATTTTAGTTGATGTCTACGACATGAAAGGAAATCCGTAGAATACTTTTATTCTTTGTCATCATGTATGTCACTTCATTATTTCCTTCCCTTCTTATTTACAGAAGAAGAAGACGAAACAAATCAAGAAAGAGAGAAACGATGAACAGACTGTGTGTATGTGAATGTCTGTGACCTATCGGCATAGAACATATGCATATAGTGCATACTAGAATAAATGGGATCTCTTTATCCTACAGACATAGTCGTCCGACAAAAAAAAGGCGAAAAAAAAGGGAGAAAGAAAGCACTACGTTCCTTGTTTATCAACGGACGCCGGTCGAAGAAAGAAAGAGAAAAAAAAATCTGCCAGATATATATATATATATATATATATATGCCTTTATACTCTTCTGTTCTCTTTGTTGTTAGTGGTATTAGGTGTTGGTACTGCTGCCGCCATTATTGGCAGCAGTAAATGAGCAGATCAAA